ATTCTCCTCAAACTATTTCAAAAAATTCAAGAAAGAAAACTCATTTTATGGGGCCAGCATAATTCTAATTCCAAAACAAAATGAAGAATAAAAACCACATGATCATATCAATAGATGCCGAAAAAGCCTTCCAGAAAACCCAGCATCCATTTCTGATAAAAACACTCAGCAATTAGGGAACAGAGGGATTGTATCTCGACATAATAAAGGCCATATATGAAAGACCTACAGCCAACATCATACTCAAAGGGCAAAAATTAAAAGCATTTCCCTTAAGAACAGGAACAAGACAAGGATGACCACTTTCACCACTCTTATTTAACAGTACTGAAAGTCCTAGGCACAGCAATCAGACAGGAAGAAAAAATAAAAGGGATCCAAATTGGAAAGAAGGAAGTGAATCTGACATTATTCGCAGATGAAATGATATGATACGGAGAAAACCCCAAAGACTCCATTAAAAATTTACTAGACTTAATAAATAAATTTGGCAAAGTAGCAGGATACAAAATTAACATCAAGAAATTGATGTCATTCTTATACACCAATAATGAACTCACAGAAAGAAAAACTAAGAAAACAATCCCATTTACCATTGCGGCAAAAAAATTAAGTTACCTAGGAATAAACTTAACCAAAGAAATAAAGGACCTATTCACAGAAAACTACAGGTCATTGAAAAAAAAAAATAGAGGAAGATATAAAAAAGTGGAAGAACATACCTTGTTTATGGATTGGAAGAATTGATATCATTAAAATGTCTATACTAACCAAAGCAATCTATAGATTCAATGCAATCCCCATCGAAATATCAATGACATACTTCACAGAACTAGAACAAATACTTCAAAAGTTCATATGAAACCAAAAAAAACCTCGAATAGCCACAGAAATCTTGAAAAAAAAAAAAAAAAGAACAAAATAGGAGGGATAACAGTACCAGATTTCAGGTTATACTACAAAGCTATTGAAATCAAAACAGCCTGGAACTGGCACAAGAACAGGCATATAGACCAGTGAAACAGAAGAGATAACCGAGAAATGGACCCAAGGCAATATTCTCAATTAATATTTGACAAAGTTGGCAAGAGCATACATTGGAGCAAAGACAGCCTCTTTAATAAATGGTGTTGGGAAAACTGGAAAGCTACATGCAAAGAAATGAAACTAGACGATCAACTTACACCATACACAAGAATAAAATCAAAATGAATAGAAGATTTAAATATGACTCATGAATCCATAAAAATCTTAGAAGAAACTGTAGGCAAGAAAATTTCAGACATCATATGAAGCAGATGCGTATTCAGTGATACATCACCTAAGGCAGCAGAAACAAAGGAGAAAATGAACACATGGGACTACATCAAACTCAAAAGCTTCGGCACAGCAAAAGAAACAGCCACCAAAATGGAAAGGCAACCCACTCTATGGGAGAGTATCATTGCCAACGATACAAGGGGTTAATTTCTAATATATTTAGAGTGTTCATACAACTCAACAAAAGGAAGACATAGAACCCAATTAAAAAATGGGCAGAAGAACTAAATAGACACCTCTCCAAACAGGACATACAAATGGCTAAGAGACATATGAAGAAATGCTCAACTACACTAATCATCAGAGCAATGTAAATTAAAACAACAATGAGGTATCACCTCACACCTGTCAGAATGGCTGCCATCAACAAATCATCAAACAAAAAGTGTTGGCAAGGGTGTGGAGAGAAGGGGACTCTAGTACACTGCTGGGGGGAATGCAGACTGGTGCAGCCACTATGGAAAACAATATGGTGTTACCTCAAAAATTTAAAAATTGAACTGCCATTTGACCCAGTGATCCCACTTCTAGGAATATACCCTAAGAAACCTGAAACACCAATCAGAAAGAATATATGTACCACCATGTTTGTAGCAGCACTATTTATAATAGCTAAGATCTGGAATCAGCCCAAATGTCCATCAGTTGACGAATGGATGAAAAAGCAGTGATGCATATACTCAATAGAGTACTATGCAGCTGTAAGAAAGAAAGATCTCTTATCCTTTGAGACTACATGGAGGGACCTGGAAAGTGTCATTCTAAGTGAAACAAGCCAAACAAAGAAAGACAAGTATCATATGATCTCACTTATTTGTGGAATATAATCAACATAACAGTCTGAGGAAGGGGGTAGTCCCAGGGACGCGGAAGTGGGGTACAGACTGACAATTTCCAGAAGAGAGAATGGTGGGGGAGTGTATGCATGAACAATAGACATGGATAGCAAAGCTGGGGAAGGGCGGGAGGGAGGGGGAGGGGGGAATCAGTGGGGGTGGGGAGGAGAAACATCTGTAATCAAAGTAAATTAATCATATAATAATTAAAAAAAAAAACAAGGACAGAAAATCCTTTCCAATCCAATTTATCATTACAACCATTGATTTTAGTTTCTGCCATTTAACATCATTGAGGTATAATTTACATAACATAAAATGTACTCCCATTAATGACATGATCCCATTACTTTGATAAGTGTTTGATGCAAAATAACACCAAGACCCAGAATAATTCCATCAACCCAGAATATCCTTTTATGCCCTTTGCACCTGCTACCTCTCCACCTTCTCCTCTGAGAAATAGTGACCTGATTTCTATTAAAACACATTTGTTTTGTCTATTCTAGAACTTTATATAATTGGAATGATAGGGTATGTATTCTACTGTATATGGCTTCTTTCACTCATAATACAACCATAATGCCTACATCAAGGTTACTACATGTATCAGTAATTTGCTCCTTTTAGTTACTCAGTAGTGTCCCAGTGTATGTATTTAGCACAGTTTGTTTCCTCATACATGCACCTATAACAGGTATTTGGAATGTTTCCGGTTTTTAGCATCTTTCTTTTTGAGGACACACTGGGCCCTTGCAATGTCGTGGTTCTCTACTCAACTTCCCAAGGTCAATGCTACGGTTCTACACCCGCAGGCATACTGCCTGGCCATCCTTTCTGTGGCTCAAATGCCACCTCAGCATGGTTCAGCCCAGTGGTGTGTGCCCTGCCTTGTAGAGAAACCATCATTTGAAATTCTTAAGGCATTTCAGAAATAAATGGATATATATAAATATATGAGGGAGGTGATATACATGCAATTTCTGCTTTCTTCCCTGCAACAAGTCTCCCCGAGGCAAGGAGCACAAGATTGTATTGCAAACTTGGTGGTGTAAGGAGCAAAATAAAAATATAATCACCCTTAGAAAACCCTTAGATTAAAATCTACACATTGAATTTTATTCTAATTAAAAAATAAATTTAACACATAGCTTAGACCACAGAAAGAAACTTGTGGTCCACATGTCAAAATGTAGGTTTGCTTTTAATAGGATAGAGTTTTAAAACAATAGTAATATAGCTATTGATATTTAATTTAGATATTTTCTGCATGAATACACACAGAATGTTCTAGTAACTCTGGGTTGTCATTCTCTTAAGAAACAAAGTATCTGTAGTAAATAAATGGATAACTTTGAAAGACTAATCGGCATTTTGGTACAAGTTCATCTTCCATCAACCATATGTATAAATTAAATTGTTTATATCAAATTTATTCTGGGACATGCAGTTGAACAGGTGCTTATGAACAGCAATGACTCCTCTGCCTTCAGTTTTAACATCTCCAGTATTTCATAAACCACTTCTTAATTCGTTTCTTCTCCTTAGCACTTAACCCATCCTACCATTATCCCAGTTACACACTGGGTTTCATGTTTGTCTTCTCTCCTTGAATGTGCGGCCATGAGGGCGGGAGACCACTGTCTGTTTTGACTGAACCCCTGCAGCCTAGAATCATGTCCAACATGGATTAGGTCATCCATATGCGTTTGCTGAGTGAATGAATGAATAAGATGCACAGATTCTCACAGAAGAGACATTTGGCTAGATGATCTGCAAATAACAAAACTTGGCTAACTATTTCATTTTTTTCTTAGAAAAGTTTAAATTAAACGGTTGTATGCTCATCATGTGCCAGGCAATATTCTATGCAGTTTCCACACTTCCACTCACGCAATGCTCGAAGGTGTTTCGTGTGTACTGTTAATTACCTTGTGTTACAAATAGAGGACGGAAGCACAGGAAAGTTCAATACCTCCCCAAGCAAGGACGGTTCAAATGTTAATCAGATATTCTGAGTCCAGAGCCGGAGTCACCAGTCTCTACAGTATCCCACAAAACAGAACCATCTGAAAAGAAAAAGTATTAGATAAAAAAATGTTTCATTCTGGTAAAAAAATATTTTTCTTCCTAAGAGCAGAACTGATTCTCAGAAGCACGTCCTTCCTAGGATATGGCCCAGCCCTTCAGGGTGGGGCACAGGTCACAGTGATTCTTCTTCAAATGCTACAGAGTGAATGTATGTGTCCCTTCAAAATTTACATGTTGGAAACTATACGTCCAAAGTGACAGTGTTAGGATTTGCGGCCTTTGGCAGTTGAATTGCCCATGAGGATGGAAGCTTCATGAATGGGACCCACGCTCTCACCAGAGACTTCCGAGAGATCCCTCACCGTTCCTGCCATGTGAGGACATGGTGAGGAGTTAGCAGTCCTCCACCCAGAGAAGGGCCTTCCCCACAAGTCAACCGTGCTGGCACCCTGACCTTGCACTTTCAGACTGCAGAACTGTGGGAAACAGATTTCTCGTGTTTATATCCACCTCGTCTGTGGCATGTTGTTACTGTACCATGAATGGAGTCAGCCACCTTAGATCATACTTCCTAATGAATGAGGGATTCATTATTGTGTGCGTTTAATTGGATGCATACTTTCTTATTCTCTGGACTCCACTCCCGCCCGACACCAACCTGATCTAAGTGCTGGTGATTTCCCAAGATATACACCCTGATGCACTCTAGGGCTAGGCAATCTGGTTATTACTTTGGAGAAAAACTAAAGGCGTGCCCGTGAACAAACAGTTAGTAATTCCTAATATGTGTACACGCCCTACTGTGAAGGAAAGTGGAACATGTTTTCAGTTCCAAATCGAGCACAAAGGCAAAGCGAGAAAAGCCATGGCCGGTGAGTTTTTGGTTTCCTGTTTTGTTTTGTTTTGTTTATTACTGTCAAAGGATATATCTTGGTGGAAAATTTTTGAAAGTGGCTGGCTTTTGGGGAAGCCATAATTAGGTTGTATGAACGTTTAGGTGAACAGACTGGGGGAGAAGGAAGAAAGGAGGGTAGAAAAGGGCCCGAAGACTTTCACAGTTTCCAGAAAGGAGCAGCAAGGGCCAGAAAGGAACTGGGCCTCACTGGTATTTTGCAGTCCTTGCGCAAACTTAACCAGATTATCTGACAGACAGTGCAAGGTCGGTATGAGTGGGTGCCAGCAGCTGTTGTCCCCAAGGGAAATGGCTATGCCTATTTCATTCTTTATTATGCGAAACTGAATAAAAATTAGTCACTGTCAGGATGATCCCTGATTTCGGGCAGTAATTTAGAGACAGTAATTCTCAGACTTCCGGCCATTCAGTGAGCACACATGGGTAGTACTGAGGACAGAACAGGAGATGTGGGGATCTCAGGATGACAAGTGTGTGGGGGGGACCTTTTATGGATTAAATCTAAAGGAGGCTATTTCCTGTTACTGACTTGAGAAGGAAATGACGCTGTTTTAGTAACGTGAGGAATCCTTGTGCTTCAAACAGACCTGGTCCTGAAGGAGAAGAGGAGGGTGTTTATCCAATCAGTGAGCCTGGGCACTGTAAATGGCTTGTTGGATGAACTACTACAGGAAACAGTGCTGAACCAAGAGGAGATGGAGAAAGTAAGAAATGAAAATGCCACAGTTATGGATAAGGCCCGAGCTCTGATTGACTTTGTCATTCGGAAAGGGCCCCGGGCAAGCCAGATATGTATTGGTCATATTTGTGAAGACGACTCCCACCTTGCAGAGCAGCTGGGGCTGTCCTCAGGTAAATCAGCAGTCCAGACTCAAGTTCACATGAGCCCTGTGTCTTCGGATCCACATCTGATTTTTTCATGGGCCATGTTAGTTTGCAGACAAGTCTTCATGTCTGAAATCAATGGCACTATTGTATGTCCCCGTCTCTTTATTCTTCATTCTTGTTCCTTTAGCCTCAGTGTCGTTCATTGGACTAAAATTCATTTCCCATCTTGAGTACGTGGTAGCTCAGTTGTTGAAGTTTATGAGAACAGTCTGATAAGCTTCCTACTGTATTCTCAAGTCCTCCTGGCAAGGCACATGATTTAGTTAGTTAGTTAATTATCAGTTAGGTAGTGAAGTCTAGGGGTCTCCATAAATTTTTATAGTTATTTGCCAGGAGACTTAAGGTCTATAATTAAATACTTTTTACAATTTCTCTCCTAAATTTTGCTCACCAGGAGGCATAAAACATATTTCAATGATAATAAAGCACTCAGAGAATAAATTCCATGCTTAAGAAATCTAGGATTTGAAATGTGAGCTCTTCTAATTGCCCTGTTGCTTTTTTTTTTACTGACATCTGCTAGCTTAGAAATGGGCTGTGCACCCCAGTGTGGGGCCCACTCTCCACCTCCCACCTCTCTGAGGACCCGGTCCAGGACTCAGGCATCTGACCTGCCCTTCTCTCTGAAGTCCCTTAGTCCCTCCACACAGCAACGATGTGAGCTTGGGTCGACTCCCAGCCACTGGTCTCGTCCATGCTTCCCAAATGCAATCAGATGAAAAAGTTGTTCTTTGAAAGCAAGGGGCCTTTTTCTCTTGTGACTTGGGGAAGGAAGTCTATGCCTGTCTTACTGACAAAGCAAAGTTCATCTGCAAGCCATTTCTTGTTTTTCTTTTAATGCTTCTTTTTTTTTCATTTAACACTCCCTGACTTCTCCCCTGCCCCCCCCCCCCCACACACACACACACACAAGACAAGTAACAATTGGTTCGGAATAATTGTGTAGTAGCCCATGTGTCTTCTTCCTTGCCCCATTCCTTTCGGTCCGCAGTCCTGGAGTTCCAGAGGCAGTCGGACAACCCACTGAACAACACGAACACCTGGGGTCGGCCTCGCGGCTTGTCAGGGTGGTCAGGGCTTTGTCTCTTCCTCATCTACTTGCCAACTGTTTCCAGGACCACAGAATTTGGTATTAGATGTCCTATTTGAATGACTAATGGGAGAGATCTTTTTAAAGGAAAGTTCTTGGCATGTACACACTGCCATAACAAGGCCTCCTTCAGAAAATGTTCTTGAATTTGTTGATGGTTAATTTAGTCCAGCATTCTAGATGTAAAAGATGGGACAAGGTGCCATCTGTTGCCATCTCAATATGTATATATATATTTTTTGGTGTGTGCCCCTAGAGGGAACTGAACCTGGGACTCTCTAGTCTGCAGGCCAATGCTCCAACTGCTGAGCCAAACTGGCCAAGGTGCGGCTCAAACTTTTGTTGAGCAGTCTATGTCTGTCCATCATTCAGAGCAGGGAAATGGACCACATTTTGTCTATGGAAATCTCAGGGTTTTTCATGTCAATTCTTAAAGTTTCTGGAATTATTTTCTCAGGTGCGTATTGTTATACTGAGATCCTTATAAAAACTTGAACTTTACATTGAATTCATGTCCTCGAAATTGACAATTATAATGGATCATGACCTCAGAGAATACATGAATAGTTTGAGTGGTTTAATGCAACCAAATAGTATAACATTCTCTAGTTGGAAGGGACATTCCCACCAGTAGGAAGGACATGCTTGTCTGATGGATGTCCAAGGTCATGGCCTAAGCTGTGTTCTTATTAACATTTAAACTGATCTCTGTGAGGTTTTATAATTTCCTCTTGCATCTGGGTTATGATGAAAAGTATTGTTTTTTGTTTTGTTTTGTTTTGTTTCAAAACTGATCCCTGAGTGGGTTTATAATTTCCTCTTGAAGATGGGATGAGATGGGAACAATTTTTGTTGTTTATTTTTTTTTCCAAAAATAAAATATCTGGAAATGGGAATCAGATTTGAAGTAATGGGAACTGTAAAATACTTTTAGCAACCTCAGGAATCACAATGAGCATTAAACCGAACTGAGATACACTACTGTACCAGCAGAGACAGTGGCACACAGGAGGCAGGTATAGACCCTGTCATGATGTGTGCGCTGGACCCCTGGGCTCTGTCTGCACAAGGACACTCCAGGGAGATCTAAGGTGCACTGGCCCAGCAAGCCAGGAAGCTGAGCAAGTTGGGCTATGAGGACAAGCAAAGGTCCTGGCCAGGCCTTTTGAGAATGGATATAATTCTGAGGGTCCCTAGCATAATATTGAAGGCAATGGTGTGGAGGATAGGAAGAATACGAACTATTTGTTTATTTAAAAAACTTATTTGTAAGCATACTATGTGCCAAGCACTGTTATTTAGTCAGAGAGATCAGTACTCAACTTCCTACTCACCTAAGGAGATGGCTTTGTTTCATCTGGTGCCAGTCCCTTCCTTTTTGTACCAGTTGAAGGAGCTTCCTGAATATTTCATTAGACAACAGATAAGAGTGAGTTATTAAAAGTTTTTTGTAAACTCCTAATTCTCTCATTTCTTTCAGCTGCATTGACAGGCTGCTAGAAACTCCTGGGCAGCAGGCTTCACTAAATATTATGCTGTAACAGAAGGATTTGTTTTCATGCCAATTTTAACATGAAAATATTAATTCTCAATTTTAACTGCAAATACTATATCTATCTATAGACACATAATGGTCATTAGGAGATGATGCTTCTTAAGTCAGAGAGTTCACCAAGCTTGTACATAAACTGGAAACAGGAGGTTTTGATGAGACACAGACTCTCTAACGAGGGAAGATCCCAGGACCCTGGGTGTCTTTTTATTGTCAGAAACTTCTGGAATAAGAAGGAAGAACTTGCCCCTGTTTAATCTATACCAAAAAAAAAAAGGTGTTCAGAAAGTTTGGTTTCCTTAAAAACCTATCATTTTCTACACCTCCAGGCCTTATGTTTTTAGCCTATGTATTAGAAAGACATTTGTCAAAAAAATATTATGGAAAAAAACTAAAGAAAATAAATGAGTAAATTAGAAAAAATATATAAAGTATAAAAACTGAAACATTTTATACAGGATAATATTGCTTATTTCCTTTAAATAAAACAAAATGAGAGATTGCCCTGTGTGGTTCATGTAAGTAAACAAGGTTTATTACTAACATGGACAAAAACCTTGTCAATTAGATCTTGGTCAACCTCTCTTCCTATTGTTTTGTTTTTTTTTTGTTTTTTTTTTATCCTCACCCGAGGATATTTTTCCATTTTTTGTTCAGATAGAGTGGGAGGGAGAGAGACGAAGGGAGAGATAGACAGAAACATCGATGTGAAGGGACACATCGAGTGGCTGCCACCCGCACGACCAACCAGGGCCGGGGACAAACTGCAACCGAAGTACATGCCCTTAGCGGGAACCGAACCCACAAGCCGATGCTCTAACCGCTGAGCCAAACCGGCCAGGGCTCTCTTCCTGTTGTTTATGAAGTTTTCTTCCTTCCTCATACAGCAGAAGGCTCTGGACTTTCCGAGTCTCTTGCAACATCTGTCACGTGAGGTCAAGCTGTGCTGGATAAGATTATGTTTCTATGAGGACTGGGTAAGGGTGAGTCAGAAACAAAGCCTCCAACAGGGAGGAGTTATTACTTCACATTTCAAAACATGGGTTGAAAATTTAGTGCTGTTTGATCAGCACTTTGGAGGCAAGGACATCCAGTATATGTTAGCCTCTCTGAGCAAAATACTGTCCCTCTGACCCTGGAATCAGCCCTCTGGTGCTAGACAGCATTTCTCCATGAGACGGCAGACTGAACAACTTGGCGAGGACTTGCAGAAGCCCATCTCCTCTGGGTAACTTGAGACTTCAGGCTGAGGTTGCTGAAAAAATGCTACCTGGATGGTACAGGACCCAGGAGTCCATTAGGTGTCTAGTGTGTGTATGGCTATGTTCAGTGTGAGTTAGGAGCAGACTGGGATGTTACAGCATTCAATTTGATAGCTGCCCGCCACATTGTGACTACTGAGGCTTGAATTGTGGCTAGTAAGCATGTTGAAATGATAATAGTTTGAATATATTATGTTAAATTAAACAGTATTTAAATTAATGTCACCTGTTTATTTTTCCTTTTTTAATGTGGACATTAGAAAAAATTTAATTGCACATGTGACTCGATTATATGTCTAACGAACAGCACTCTGATATATGTGTACTCAGTATTCTCTTGCTCACTGACAAGAAGTCCACTTCCATGAGGGAGTACTCTAGAGTAAAAAATGGCAAAACTCAAACTGTTTTAGTGGAATGTTAAAAAGCTAATTTTGACCCAAGTCACCAAGGAAGGTGTTTTCTCATAATAATCACAATCTATTATTAGGTTTGGACGGATCTGCTACTAAGGGTTTCTCCCTCTTTCTCAGCACAACACACCTCTTCATACTAGAGGACAGATACAGCTATAGTTCCCACAAAAAAATGTTTGAAAACCTCCTCCTGATTCACCTTCTCTGTCAATATTCTTAGGTGATAATTGGGTCACAGATACAGATGTTAATATTTATATCATGTGAGCTCATGTGATGTGTCTTGCAATTTCTACAGAAGTGGCTGAACCTGCTGAATCAGCACAAACTACAGATACCCTCAAGCTTTGTCCTCATGAAGAATTTCTGAAACTACAGAAAGAAATGGCTGGAGAGGTACTTACTATGTTCTGTCTGTAAAACAGAAAAAGAGAAACAATTGCTTTCACTAAATGCACAATTGCTTAAAGCACTAAGTGCAGAGAGGTGGGTGGGACAGTGGTAAACTTTCCCAGAGATGCTATGAGCCAGGGAAAATTACCCAGCCTCACACAGACGGCAGGTCCCTTTCCGCCCCATGACAACATATAGATCCCACACTTTATTTATTTGTTCTCCTATCTGGGACTTATTACAATTAAGCCGTAGTCCTAGAACCAAAATATGTATAAGATAACGTGGCTGAGTAGTAATTATTTGAATTCCTCATGAAAAGCTTACACAGGAAATTAGCTTTGAAAATATAATTAAAGCCTGAAAACACATTATGTATTAATATGTTAAAAACGATACTGAAATAATGATGTTACCAAAGACAAAGGATCGTGGATGTATTTATATTTAGCAGTTTTTTACGAAATTTGATCTGAACCTGGAATACCGAGAAACATTTGTTTCGGCCAAGAAGAGAAAAGAGAACATTAGGGAAGAAAGTGTTTTAGTCTCAAGATTCTTGAGCAAGTATGTTCTGGGTCTATTCCTGGGGTCTTGAAAATAAATCACATTCTTTCTTTTCTTTTTTTTTCAGAGTAATTTTTTTAAGTAATCTGACGGTCCTCGATCACTTTCAATTCTCACTTCTTTCTCGTGTTCATTCACTCCATTACAAAGAAAAAGGCAGGATCTCTGGCACAGGAGAGGGGAGAGGGCAGCGCTATGAGCCTGTAACAAAGCAACAGTGACTAGTATATGAAGGATTGAAAGATATTTAGGTAAATCAAACTCACTGCGTGTCCATTTCCTGCAGATCTATCCAATAAAGGACAGAATGGGCCGCACTTGCCTGGCTCTCATCATTTGCAACAGAGAGTTTGATCACCTTCCAGTCAGGGAGGGAGCTGAGCTTGACATCACAAGGATGACGGAGCTGCTTGTGGGCCTTGACTACAATGTGACTGTGGAAGAGAAGCTCACAGCCAAGGTGTGCCCCACCCCAAACATGGTCGTGTTTGACACACGTCCTCCTCCCAACAAATTAATATTGTAATGTTAGCCGAATACTTTCAACCTTAGGCCACGTGTGTGTGTGTTTATAAAATGAAATTATTAGATAGGTGAAATCAGTCTTTTTCGAGCCCCAAATGTCCTCAATTCCATAAAACTGGACAAAAAGTGATGGCATGTATACCCACACGATTTTTAGTTACAAATATGATTAGGATTCAGACCCAATATTCCCAGATAATTCTAATGTAATGAATGTTTTCAAAGCATGTACTCGCCATATAAATACTGAGTCCTGGTTTGTCCCAGGGCCTATTTTTGGCACTGGGGTAGGACTGTGAATGAGACTGGATGTTCCAAGCTGGCATTGATTTAGATTTGCTGGTGGGGGGAGCAAGGACAATCACATTAAAAGCAAAACAGAAAATTTCAGAGATATGGTGTGTCTTTGTGCCTCTCAGTAAGGGTGAAAAGAAAGTGAAACAAGTAAAAGAAAACATAAGAGCAAATTGGTGAGTGTGGAGTAATTGTTTTGATGGAATGGTCAAGAAGAGCCTTGTTAGGGACAGAGGAGCTGACAGATGACTGCCAGTAACAAGACAAGTCTGGAAATACGTGAATAAAATACATTCCAAGAGTGATGACTGCAAATGAAAGACCTGAACTGAATATGAAGCGGGCACATGGGAAATACAGAGAGACCAGTGTGACTAGAGCCCACAGGGGAGGGAGGAGGGAAGAGACAGTATACATATGTCAGGAGTTTTATTCTAAGCACAGTAAGAAGGGTTTTTGAAGGCTCCTATTAAGTACTGAGATAAAAGACAGAGCTATATAGAAAAGTATCTAAGTTCAAATAAGCAGTTGTGAAATATACAAGAGGTGGTTCGGCAGTGTCAGCAGGAGCCGACGGAAGCCCCTGCTCTGCTGAGGGAAGGAGAAGGCAACGGCCAGAATCGAGCAACCACGACAGGAAGGCGCAGTGATTGGAACATGACACATGTTACTTGTACTGCTCATGGTAAATAGGAGGTCTGATTAATGTCAGTCTTGGTCCTATTAAAGTAAGACTTGGTGGTCTTTTTCAGGACATGGAGTCAGTGCTGGAGGCATTTGCTGCCTGCCCAGAGCACAGGTCCTCAGACAGCACATTCCTAGTGTTTATGTCTCATGGCATCTTGGATGGAATCTGTGGGACTCAGCATAGTGATGAGAAGCCAGATGTGCTACCTTATGACACCATCTTCCGGATATTCAACAACCGAAATTGCCTCAGTCTCAAGGACAAGCCTAAGGTCATCATTGTCCAGGCCTGCCGAGGTGGTGAGTTCGACGTGAAAAATCCAAAGGGCATGTGTTTGCCAAGGATTGTGACATGTTTTTGTTTTTAGGAGAAACAATCTTAGACCCCATTCAGTGCAAATAGTGAATTGGATTCTCGAGAAACTCCAGGTACAGGGTTGGTATTGTGAGAAATTATCTTTTAGATAAGAAATATTCATCTGATTAAAAACAAGGTAAGTAGTGAAGGAGTCTTCAGAATTTCTAAATTGAAGTTGAACAAGAATATTTAAACTTTGGAGTAAAATCACTTTAATGACAGCTTTACTTGACAATGCTTTACAAATATTTTGACATTCTCTGGCTTGAGGAGACTTTCATCTAAAATGGGGCTGTTCTGCAATAGTGGCACCCTGTTTTTCCTCATGCATTATCATTATCATTATTATTTTTTTAATCCTCACTCAAGGACATTTTTTCCTTTTTGTTCAGATAGAGTGAGAGTGAGAGAGACAAGAGAAACATCGACGTGGAAGGGACACATCAAGTGGTTGCCACACACACAACCCAACCAGGGCTGGAGAAAAACTGTAACCAAGGTACGAGCCCTCAGCGGGAACCAAAACTGGGACTCTCTGGATCGCAGGTCGACGCTCTAGCCGCTGAGCCAAACTGGCCTCGGCTCCTCACGCATTATTGAAGGAGAAATAAGGAGGGAGATGAGGGTACTTAGGACTGCTGTCAAAATTTCCTTTGACTTTTTCTTCTGACTTCCAATTGCCTCTTAGCTTGTTGGAGCAGTGTTTGGGAGAAAAAGCAAAAATAACTTAGCTAAAAAATGGTAACTAGGCTAAGAAATTATGCATATAAGACTTTAACTCCTATGCTCTTCTTTGCAAAAGGGTCTTTTAGTGTTACAACACTGTTACTATTTACTGATAAGATGCTGTCACTATTAATTGGCACATTGTTCAAAGACATTAGAGAGAGGCCAAGTTATGTGTGTGGGGGAAGGGGCTTAGGGTGAGTGTGCGTTCGTGCATGCATGTGTGTGTGTCTGTGTGTGGAACTGGTGAGAATAAACATTTAAAAAGAATGAGGCGGGCAACTGTGACAGTCATCCTGAGGGAGGTACACAGTGTGTACTAAGTTAATGTCTCTACAGCAAATCGCGGGGAACTGTGGGTCAGTGACTCTCCAGCACCCGTGGCAGACAACTCTTCACAGTCACCTGAGATCCTGGAGGACGATGGTGTTTACAAAGCTCACGTGGAGAAGGACTTCATTGCTTTCTGCTCCTCAACCCCGCGTAGGTGTCTTTCAGTTACAGACGAGAGTGTGTGGGCCTGAAGCCAGCTCTGAATGATTCTAGAACATTAAGATAGGCTCTATGCAGGTCTGAGACACGTTTTGAGTGCTGTCAAAATAATTTACATTTATCTCATTTAGTCTATGGAAACAGATATTTTACATTTTTTTCCTTTCTTTAAAATTGTACTTTTATTCTAAGTGCTTCACTTGACAAATATATACCAAACATTAAAACAATCCAATACAGGAAACCCGGTTTACCATACACCATTTATTAACAAATAATTGACTCAATTTTCTATCAAATCTGCTTAACATTTTGAAAAGAATTTTTATGGATCCCGGACTGGCTGTTCTTTTTTAAATAATCAAGTTCAAGCCTTTTTCTGCATATTTACACGTGATGCTATTTAGAGTGGTGCATTGCGTGGTTCAGCGGGATGCAGATGTCCTTTAAAAGAGGTAGAAAATGATATGATGAGACATATTAGGCCTAATAATAGGAGATAAGTGTTTACTTCTTGACCTTTAGGTAGTATCTTAAGAAAACTTACATTTGATTTTTTCTAATTAGCATATTTTTGCGTTGTCTTTTTTTTTTTTTTTTAACCACTTAATGGAGGTTAAATTGATATACAAGAAGGTATATACTTAATGTATATAATGTGAGTTTGCATATGAATATGAAACTGTAAAACCATCACCACAATTAATGCCATAAACCTATCCCTCCCCTGAAAGTTGCCTTTGAATTTGTTCATCTGCTTTGTTTATTATATTGTGAAAGGCAGTATGATATATACTCTGTAACAACCTTGGGACCAGGTGGCCAAGTTTTGTTGCTTACTCTATGAGCTTGGAGAAATTCTTGGATCTTCCTGAGTGTTTATTCTTTCTTCTGTAAAATGGGATAATTCCTGTTATCTCTCAAGTCTTTTATCAAAGCCAAGTGAGTAAACCTGAGGCATGTAGCAAAATTAGTTCCAAGAATATAATACGATCATTATGTAATTCTGATGAGTTATTCCTAGAGTTAGACCTTTGTGGAACATTTAGAGATATAAGTGTTTCCCCTAAACATATCAAGTTAATTCCCAAGCTCTGCTTTATATATACATATACAACAAAAGTATAATAAAAGAATAGATAAGGCCACAGCCCAAGGCTTACACTCCTTATCTTCACAGATAATGTATCCTGGAGAGACAGAACTAAGGGTTCTCTCTTCATTACACAACTAATCACATGCTTCCAAAAATACTCTTGGAATTGTCACCCAGAGGAAGTATTTCGAAAGGTAAGCTTCTTTTTCCTTTTCTAACAACATATATATATATATATATATATATATATATATATATAAATATATATATATATTTTAGTTCAGGAAGACTTTACTATTATTCTTATTTCAAGTGACAATGACAGACTTTTTCAGGCAAACAAAAAAGTAGAGCAGTTCCCGGTTTCTGTTACCCAGGGGTTTAAAATATGATTTAGAAAAGGAAGATGTCAATATACTACCTCAGAAGATGAAAATAGAAAAAATAATATAACATGTGAGCTTACTTGTTCTGGGCTATAAATTCTTAAAATTAAAAGAATGGAAAGTATTTTGAATTCATTTGTATTGTTCAATTTATTAAATAAATGTATATTGAGTTTTCTACTTGGTGATTGTTGCTATCCTGGTGACACAGGTTAGAAGTGACACTGTGTCATAGGCTGCCAAGGCCTACATTGTTGTGGGAGAGATGGATCCTAAACAAGTCGGCCAACAAACATATCTGTCATTACAGACTGCAGGAGGGTCAAAAAAAATCAAAGGCACATGAAGGAAAACACAGGAGAAGACATTTTTTGAGTGGAATGGTCCAGAAAAAAAGATATTTATTTCCCCACTTAAGATAGGCCTCATCCCTCCTAACTTGTTTTTCTCCACAGTTTGACCACCACTTGTTTGTTATATATTTTGTTTGATTTTTATCTGCATTCACTCATATGAAGGCAAGAATTTGCTCGATACCTCAACATGCTGGCACTTAGAAAGTACTATTCATTTAATAAGCACATTCATGAATAAATGAACAGATATTCCTTTTGGTCATTTTCTTAAGGGAGAAAGATGTTGTATTAAGAATATGGGAAAGTGTGGTTGTTTTTATGTTTAAACTACAGAGAGCAGCAGCACTCCTGTAGGAAAAGAAGAATATACCTTTAATAAATGCAAGAAGATTGCATTGTAACATGAGTTAGGGTCTCTGTGAATGAGAATTTAGAAAACTAAATTCTGTTGGATGAATAGGAATGAGATATTTTACTTTCTAGGATAAGTCTAGAAATAGTATTATTGTTGGGGAGAGGTCCTCATCTTCAACAGTTGCTGCAATATTTTGTGAAAAGGTATTTTCAGAGACTTTCATAAAAGGATGAGATATTGTAGAAATCATTATTTCTCTGGAATTACTGCCCCTCAGTTTCAAGGTCCCATTTCTCTTTGTCCTACCAAAAAGAAGTCCCTATTTTGTTTTCAGCAGAGCTAAAATCAAAGCCAGTGTCCATAATTTCTGTTCTACGTCTCCACAGTCTAATACAGCATCAGGCTAACCGAACTTGTGTTCCCTGCTTGAGTCCGTCAGTCCATTGCATGTGGGGTTCGCATGGCCATGGGCCATGGAGAGAACAGGGACAGGAGCAAAGCCAAAGGAACCAGAGAGCCAAGATGGCCATGCAAGAGTGCGAGCTCCTTTATCTGCAGGACTAGGTATTCCCAAATTTTCATGGGTCTGCAAAGGCCCGGCCTACTGTAGTTAATCCATTGTTCCCCTGGCTTGAATGACAGGCACTTTTTCTGTGTCACTCCAGCTCATTATACATATGTTCATCTCCTGTTTGTTGGATCCCCCACCCAGTGCTCTGCAGGGAATGGGCCAGTGGTTCCCTGTGGAGTGTGACATTGCAGCTTCCTGGTGAAGCTGCCCAAATGGTATGCCTATAATGTCTGGCCTTCTTCCTTTGCTCCTTTCTTATTCTTAATAACTATCAACAGAATCAATACAATCTCATTATCTGTCAGTGGCAAAAAAATTCAGAGGTCAGCTTGGTAGTGGGAATGTGAAAGTTGTTGTGTTCAAGTCTGAGGGATAAAATTTTGTTTTGTGCCTTACAGAATTAAGGAATTAGACTTGGAGGTTAAAGATAGAGAATCTTTGAGATCCCATTGTTATGAACTGACCCTTAGAGATCAGTTTAAATCTATTGATCAGGAACAGAAAATAGAGGAAATGAACTTTGAAAGACTTTGAGTTAGGCATGAGGTATTGAAATAAAGACTGTATATATTCTGACATGGGGCATTACTTCTAAAAGGTTGGGTAGCAGTGACAGGTGGTTAGAATATCCATGGGCTTTGTCCCATCAGCTCTAGGCATACCCTTCATTCCCAGAATCTTTTGGCTCATGGTACAAAATGTTTTCTGAGAGTGAATCAGAGTTATGTTTCATCAGATGCTCTTTTTGTTTCTAGGTACAACTATCATTTGAAACACCACATGTTAGAGCCCAGATGCCCACCACTGAACGAGTATCCCTGTCAAGATATTTCTACCTATTTCCTGGCAACTGAAAAGGTACGTATCAGAGCTGTTGGCAATATTCCGGGAAAGTAATATTAGTGGTGAGGTCCAATGACCAATGGCAACTAATTGCTTGAGTGCTCAAATTTATGTTGCTTGTTGATGTATTTGATGATTTGATGTTATTTTTTGCTCTACTTATATGAATCTGGATCCACAATCAATAAATCAGTCAGTCAGCCAATCAAGGAGATAAGCCAGGCTAACACAAGAAGTAATAAACAATGAAGTACACAGGGTAACAATTAATAAAACAGAAATGTACTCATGTTTCCATTATTCTCTCTCTTTCACACACACACACACACACACACATTATCTAACATTGTCTCAGATTCTGAAAAAAACAGACAGCAGAACAGATGACTGTGAAGGAAGCAGTTCATCGATCCCTTGAGGGCAGATGTCACATTGCGACATTGAACTCCCATTACCAGACAGTATAAACGTGATCTTGGACTGCAGTTTTTGTGTTGAGGCAGACTCTGGCTCTCTGACTGTCCTCACAGTGTAGATCACAGAATACTCAGTGTCTGCTCTCAGATCCTTACTTACTGCTCAGAAATCCCTTCAAGCATCCATGTTGACACACATCTTAAAAAATAAATATATTGATAATGGTCCCACCGAGTTTAGTTCCAATAATTATTTTCCTCATTTATAACAGCTTTATATCACACTGTACTAGAAGTATATTATCAAGTTCCCTCTCAGCCGCATAATTAAAATTATATTTTATAGTAAAGTTTATCTCAATACTTGAAATCTTTATCTACTATCTTCTACCCCTGGCTTGTGACTCCCTGGTTGCATAATTGTGTAGCTCCTTCATCAGAATAGCTCTTACTGCCTAATTAGTCCTATAGATCCACATTTAGGAATTGAGCTATTTGACTAATATTTATCAAGTGCTTACTATGTTCTAAGATCTGTTCTAGAATCTTGGGATATACTGGTGTACAAAATAAATAAAGTCCTTGTTCTCAGAAAGCTCACACTCTAGTGAGTGGAGACAGATTCTAAGTACATATGTAAATATATGTCGGAGAGTGATAAGAGCTAAGACGAAACTAAAGAAAATTAAAAAGATGGAGGTTGTACCAAAACAGATAGATTATTCAGGAAAGACTTCCTTAAAGTGATAAAATAATGAAATAGAACACAGCGTAGACAGAGTGGGCCAGTGAGCCTTATGCGTCTGTGCAGAAAGACTGTTCCAGCACAGGGACCAGCTAGCAGAGATGCCCTGAGCAGAAAGGTGCTCAGCTTGTTTGCCAAAGGCAGGGGGCAGGAGGAGAATGAGAGTGGGGAAAATGCCAAAGACAAATTCATGAAAACGGGGAAAAGCCTTATCACATGGACCTTGGTGATTACAGGGTAAATGTTCTAAAATGTTTATCCTGAGTACATAGGAAACCTTTGAGTGCTTTTGAACAGAGACGTGAGATCATCTAATCGGATGTTACAAAGATCACCCTGAGTACTTTCTGTGAATATTCTACAAGGGTCACAGTTAGAAGCCAAGAGAAGTGGCAAAAACACATGGAAAAGGATGAACAAGCAAATATGATAATAGCTGGATTGAAGGCTTCTGGGAATTACTATCTTCACCTTGTGTTTTTTTCTTCTTCAGAAAATGACTGGGAGTGCTGCCTCCTTTATCAACTTTGAGAAGCACCTTTACCAGTTTGGCACACATATTTAACCCTTTGTATTTAAATAAAAATAAAAACAAATAAACTGCATCTTTGGGTCCTTTATAATAGAGAAGAGAATTTAAATTAAAATGATAGGCGAGTAAAAATGAGTGGAGAACGCTAACTGGATTTTCTAGCTCATGACTCATAAGCCCAAAGTCACACAGTTCGTAGGTGGACATAGCAGGATTTGAACTCAACAGGACTTGCTCTGGAATCTGAGTTCTTAATCACGGCTCTGCATTGCCTTTCCAAAGCAATGAAAAACAGAAATTATTAGGGTTCTGAATTATAAAGTTTAACTGAATTTTGAATTGTAAAAGTTAACTAACACTACGAAGAATGATGCTGTTTATATTTCTTTACTTGGTTTGTCTATGTGGAAATATGAGACATATCATAAACAACCAAAAATACATATTATAGGGACCTCATTCTACCACTGTGTGATAATATTAAAAACCCAATAACAAAGATTTTCACACATCATTGCACAGTTTGAAAAAAAAACACACACATACAAACACACATATTTATATTGCATATACATACACTAGTTGCATACAAACACATACAAAAACAAGAAAGATAAAAAAGTATAAACTAAGCACTGAACCTGAGGATCCAGAAAAATACTAAACTGATAATAAAATAGAAAATGCAAATAATAAATATTAAAAAGCAAAAATCAATTAGATGTTAATGAGAAAAAATTGAGCAAGTCAGCAAAAACTGGTCTTTTAAAAAGGCTAATTGCAGACATTCAGTAAGATTGAGTGTGAACTATTAGAGTTAGCACAAAGACAGTATCAGAGATCCAAAACTATCACAAGAGAATTCCAAAGGGCCCGCGGAATGAATGGAAGCTACACAGACCATCTCCCAGGCCAAACTGGAATTACTATTAAAATAAGACAAATCATCAGGAAAAGGCAACAGAAAAACAGCTTGTGAGGACCATATAACCAGGGACACTGATCCGATCCTGGTAGGATTGCCGAGGTGTGAAATGTGGGCTGGGAGCCCATGGACAGCAGCTGTCTAACCTGTGAGTAGCGCCCTCGGGTTAAAATTCCAAGCAGCTCTACAGCTCAGAGCCAGGACAGAGCACTAAAATAGCCGCAGCCACTTACCTGGGGCTCCGGTAGAGGGAGGGCAACTGGACTGAAACTGTGTGGGCACACTCGAGATTTGGAGGACACTCAGAGCTTTTCCTCAGTTGTGGCCAGGAAGGAAGGTTGTCATCTTACTCCTTCCCAGGGCTCCAGGGAGAGGCAGCAGCCACTTCCTCAGAGATTCCACCCCACCTGGTGGGGCATTGAAATGCAAATTATGACTCATTAACAATCAGCATCTGCCCCACCATCTGGAAATCCCCTTAGGCTGAACACCTGAGGGAGTTTTTCATTCAACTGAGAAACCAAGGCTCTTCAAGTAACCTCTACTAATAGCCTCTAGGCAAAAATCTAGAAGATAACTGGATCATTTCTGGGCTTGCAACTCTACCTAGGAAAGTAAGACTTGACAGTGATGTTTAAAGTGGGTCCTCTCGCCCTGGCCAGTTTGGCTCAGCGGTTAGAGCGTCCGCCTGCGGTCCTGAGAGACCCGGGTTCGGTTCCCGCTAAGGGCACGTACTTCGGTTGCAGTTTGTCCCCGGCCCTGGTTGGTCGTGCGGGTGGCAGCCACTCGATGTGTCCCTTTCACATCGATGTTTCCCTCTCTCTCTCTTCCTCTCTCTCCCTCCCACTCTGTCTGTACAAAAAATGAAAAAATGTCCTCGGGTGAGGATAAAAAAAAAATAATAAAAGAAAAAATAAAGTGGGTCCTCTCACACTCAACCAAACCCAGTAGAGGGAGCCTAAAACAGCAAAACACCAACACCCACAGGGAAAATTTGGCAGGCTCCAAAACACACTGAGATAGTCAAAATGGTGAAACATAGAAAAAAATCCCAAATGAAAGAACAAGAGACCTCTACTGAAGATGAGATAAATGAAACACAGTTAAGCAAGTTAACAGAGCTAGAATTCAGAGCCATGACCTTGAGGAAGCTCAACAGCATGTGTAAGGACACCAGCACGAAGAGTAAATTCATAGAAACATTGAAAATCAGCCAATTGGAAATTAAAAACCACCCAGGAAAAAAATGAACAATGACATAGCAGAAATAAAGAACACATTGGAAGGACTAAACAGCAGAGTAGAAGAAGCTGAGGTCTGGATCAGTGAATTAGTAGACAAGGTAGAAAAAATCAACCAATCAAAAAACCAAAAGAGATTCCAAAATGGCGGCAGAGTGAACGGAAGCTACACAGACCATCTCCCAGAACCAAACTGGAATTACAACTATAACACAGACAAATCGATGGGAAAAATAAACAGAGAAGCAGCTTGCGAGGACCATATAACCAGGGACACTGACTCAATCCTGGTTGGCTTGCAAAGGTGCGAGATGGGGGCTGGGAGCCCACGGTCAGCAGCTTGGCAGCGGCCTTAGCTGGGAGCAGCACCCTCAGGTTACACTCACAAGCGGCTCCACAGTGCAGAGCCAGAACAGAGGCTATGAAAGCCACAGCCACTCACCTCGGGCTCTAGCAGAGGGAGGGCAGACTGGACTGGAACTGTGTCAGGACACTCAGGATTGGTAGGGCACTCAGAGCTTTTGCTGAGTTGCTGCCACACAGGACGGTGGCCATATTGCTCCTTCCCAGGGCTCTGGGGAGAGGCAGCAGCCCCTCCCTCAGGATTCAACTCCACCTTGTGGGCCATTGAAGTGCTAATTGATGCTCATTAACAACCAGCATCTGCCCCACCCTCATAAAATCCCCTTAAGTTGAGCAACTGAGGGAGTTTTTCAATCAACTGACAACCCAAAACTCATCAAGTAACCTTGACTGCTAGCCTCCAGGCAAAAAGCTAGAGGACAACAGTACCTTTCCTGGGCTAGCAGCTGTAACCAGGAGAGTAGACTTGACGGTAGTGTTTAACATGGGTGCTCCCTTGCCCATCTAAACCCAAGAGAGGGAGCCATAAACAGCAGAACACCAACACCCACAGGAAAAACTTGGCAAGCTCCAAAGCCCACTGTGATAGCCAAAATGGTGAAACACAGAAACAGAAGCCAAATAAAAGAGCAAGAGACCACCACTGAAGATGAGATCAATGTGGAGCAGTTAGGCATGTTAGGAGAGCTAGAATTCAGAGCCATAATCTTGAGGAAGCTCAACGAAAGCTGAGGATCGGATCAGTGAATTCGAAGACAGGGTAGAAAAATCAACCAATCAGAAAACCAAAAGGAAAAAACGATTAAAAAACAGGAAGACAGCTTAAGAGAACTGTGGGACAACTGCAAACGCAATAATATTTGCATCATAGGAGTCCCGAGGAAGAAAAAAATAAGCAAGGGATAAAGAAATATTCAAAAAGATAGTGACAGAAAAGTTCCCTAATTTGTGAAGAAAGAAGGCATTGAAGTTAAGAACAGAGAGTCCCAAGTAAGAAGACCCAACAGGCCTACACCAAGACACATAATAATTAAAATGTCAAAAATTAAAGACAAAGAGAGAATCCTAAAAGCAACAAAAGACAAGCAACAGGTTACCAACAAAGAAAACCCCATAAGGCTCTCAGCTGACTTCTCACAACAAACACTACAGGCCAGAAGGGAATGGCATGAAGTAATCAAGGTCATGAAAAACAAGGATCTGAATCCAAGACTACTCTACCCAGCAAGGCTATCACTCAAAATAGAAGGTCAAATAAAGAGCTTCCCAGACAAAAAAAGGCTAAGGGAATACATTAGCACCAAACTAGCACTACAGGAAATGTTAAAAAGACTAATGTAATTAGTAGAAGAAATGGGAAGAAAATATAACCACACTAAAAAAATATATGGCAATAAATAACTATATATCAATAATGACGTTAAATGTAAATGGATTGAATGTTCTGATAAAAAAACACAGAGTAGCTGATTGGATAAGAAAGCATGACTCATTTACATGTTGTTTACAAGAGACCCACCTCACAACAAAGACTCACATGAGTTGAAAGTAAAGGGATGGAAAAAAATTTTCCAAGCAAATGGAAAGCAAAAAAAAACATGGGATAGCAATATTTATATCTGATAAAATAGATTTCAAACGAAGCCATAACTAGAGACAAGAAGGCCACTACATAATATTGAAAGAATCCATCCAGCACGAAGATATAACCTTGATAAACATATATGCACCCAATATAGGAGCACCAATATATATTAAAAATCTTCTGGAGGACTTCAAAGGTGAAATTGACAGCAATACAATCATAGCAGGCGACTTCAACACCCCGCTGCCACCACTGGATAGATCCTCTAGACAAAAAATTAGCAAGGAAACAGAGACTCTAAATGAAGCACTAGACAAAATGGATTTAATAGATATCTACAGAGAATTAAACCCCAAAACTGCAGAATTCACATTCTTCTCAAGTGCACATGGGAAATTCTCAAAGACAGACCACATGATAGGACACAAACTAAGTCTCTACAAGTTCAAGAAGATTGAAATCATATCAATCATCTTCTCAGATCACAATGGCATGAAACTAGAAATCAATTGAAATAAGAACATGAAAAAACATTTCAACACATGGAGGCTAAATAGCATGGTATTAAACAATGAATGGGTAACTGAGGAGATCAAGGAAGAAATGAAAAACTTCCTAGAAACCAATTGAAAATGAACACACAACAACACATAATCTCTGGGATGCAGCAAAAGCAGTTCTGAGAGGGAAGTTGCTAGCACTTCAGGCCTACCTCGAGAAACAAGAAAAATTTCTAATTGACTGTCTCACCTCACAAATTAAAGAATTAGAAAGCAAAGAGAAAGAAAACCCCAGAGCAAGTAAAAGAAAGGAAATAGTAAAGATCTGAGCAGAAATAAATGACATAGAGACCAAAAAAACAATTCATAGGATCAATGAAACAAAGCACTGTTTTTTCGAAAATATAAACAAGTTTGATGGACCCTTAGCAAGACTCACCAAGAAACAAAGAGAGAGAACCCAAATACACAAAATCAGAAATGAAAGAGGAGAAGTAACAACCAACACCACAGAAATACAAAAGATCGTTAACAGCTACTATGAATAACTATACGGCAACAAATTCGACAATCTAAACCAAATGGACAATATTCTAGAAACACACAGTCTCCCAAAACTGGACCGGGAAGAGATAGAAAATTTGAACAGACAAATAACAACTAAGGAAATTAAAGAGGTAATCAAAACTCTCGTAACAAACAAAAGCCCAGGCCCAGATGGCTTAAGGGGGGAGATTTACCGAATATTCAAAAAAGAACTAACACCCATTCTCCACAAACTATTTCAAAATTCAAAAAGAAGGAAGACTTCCAAACACATTCTATGAGGCTAGCATAATTTTAATTCCAAAACCAGAAAAAGACACTACAAAGAAAGAAAACTACAGGCCAATATCCCTGATGAACAGAGACGCCAAAATTCTGAACAAAATATTATCAAATTGGATCCAGCAATACACCAAAAAATTATTCACCATGAGCAAGTGGGGTTCATCCCAGGGATGCAAGGCTCGTACAATATTCACAAATCAATAAATGTGATACACCACATAAACAAAATAAAGAATGAAAACCACATGATCATATCAATAGATGCTGAAAAAGCATTCGACAAAATCCAGCACCCATTTCTGATAAACACCTTCAGCACTGTGCGAATAGAGGGATCATATCTCGACTTAATAAAGGCCATATATGGAAAACCTACAGCCAACATCATACTCAATGAGCAGAATGTAAAAAGATTTTCATTAAGAACAGGAACATGACAGGGATGTCCACTTTTGTCACTCTTATTAAACGTAGTACTGGAAGTCTTAGCCACCGCAATCAGACATGAGGAAAAAAATAAAAGGGATCCAAATTGGAAAGGAGGAAGTGAAATTGTCATTATTTGCAGATGACATGATATTGTACGTAGAAAACCCTAAATATCCCATCAAAAATCTACTAGACTTAATAAATAAATTTGGCAAATAGCACGATACAAAATTAACGTCAAGAAATTGATGGCATTCTTGTACACCAATGATGAACTCACAGAAAGAGAAACTGAAAAAACAATCCCATTTACCATTGTGCCAAAAAAATTAAGATAGCTAGAATAAACTTAATCAAAGAAGTAAAGGAACTGCTTGCAGAAAACTACAGGACATTGAAAATGAAATAGAGGAAGATACAAAAAAAGTGGAAGCCCATACCTTGTTCATGGATTGGAAGAATTAACAACATTAAAATGTCCATATACCCAAAGCAATCTATAGATTCAATGCAATCCCCATCAAAATACCAAAACATATTTCACAGAACTAGAACAAATACTGCAAAAGTTCATATGGAACCCAAAAAAGTCCTCGAATAGCAACAGCATTTTGAAAAAGAAAGACAAAGTAGGTGGGATCACAGTACCAGATATCAGGTTATACTACAAAGCCACTGTAATCAAACAGCCTGGTACTGGCACAAGAACAGGCATATAGACCAGGGGAACAGAACTGAAAACCCAGAAATGGAACCTAGGCAATATGCTTAAATAATATTTGACAAAAGTGGCAAGAGCATACAATGGAGTAAAGACAGCCTTTTTAATAAATGGTGTTGGGAAAAATGGGACAACTACATGCAAAAAAATGAAACCTAGACCATCAACTTACACCATACACAAAAATAAACTCAAAATGGATAAAAATTCTTAAATGTGACCCCATGAATCCATAAAAATTCTACAAAAAAATGTAGGCAACAAAATTTTGGACATCATACAAAGCAGAATTTTCACTGATACATTACTTAAGGCAACAGAACAAAGGGAAAAAATGAACACATGGGACTACATCAAATGAAAACGCTTCTGAACAGCAAAAGAAACAATCATCAAAATGGAAAGGCAACCCACTGTATGGGAGAACATCATTACCAATGATACATCAGATAAGTGGTTAATTTCCAATATATATAGAGGGTTCATACAACTCAACAAAAGGAAGACAAAGAACCCAATTAAAAAATGGGCAGAGAAGTGAGTAGACAACCTCTCCAACAGGACATACAACTGGCCAAGAGACATATGAAGAAAGGCTCAACCTCACTAGTCATCAGAAGATGTAATTAAAACACAATGAGGTATCACCTCACCCCTGTCAGAATGGCCGCCATCAACAAATCATCAACAGTAAATGTTGGCGAGGGTGTGGAGAAAAGGGGACTCTAGTGCACTGCTGGTGGGAATGCAGACTGGGGCAGCCACTATGTACAAACATATGGTGTTACCTCAAAAA